TGCTTCAAGAGTCCCTTTGCCTCTGCAGCCGCTTCCCATCAATCCTTTGCTCTGTTAAAGTTTCCAGCACATCGACAACTGATTCAATCCGAAGTTTCACTTTTCTGACGGCCCGGTACCAGTACCACCACCTCGTGTCAACTAACCGTTCGAGTCCAAGCACTGCAAGCCCTGCTTCTTGAGCTTTCATGAACAATTCATGCCAAGGAAAGCTCGAACTAAGACATACAGTGCTTACCCTGTAGAGAAAAACTCAGTGAACTCACTGATACTCGCTAGGGTGTGAGTAAGCACCAAATTCAGTCGGTGAGCATAACAATGAATGTATGTGACATGAGGTGCGACTTTTTGGTGAGTCAGGAGACTCATCACCTCGGAAAGCAAGTCCTCGTCCGCCAAGGAATGCTGCTGCACGCGCAAGACATTTTACGTGTTCTCTGTTCTCTTGAATGGCATCCGCACGTTGCGCATCAAGGACATGGGCAATAGGTTTCTGAGCACCTGTACAATTGTTTTTAAAGTTAGTCCAATCAACAGTTGAGTTCTTGTGGCGTCAGCTGTCAGCATGCTGCTGCAGCAGGTTTGTCATGGTTTTCCACTTCCTGAATCCTCTGTCAATAAACGTAATTGCACCAAGCTTCTCGCCCTGTCCAACAGAATTCCCTCCAAAATGTCGGCATGGAAAGCAAAACACTGCATCAATAGATGCGGAGTATTCTACCCATGGGTGTTTGGCGTAGGCAGTTGCAGAAAATCTTCGCCCTACAGATTGAGGGAATTTATCTAAGACTGGCTGAGCAGGACTTGGACGACTTGGTGACTTTGAAATATCCATTGCACGCGCATCTGCTATTCCTGATACCTTTACATCTGTTGACTTAACAACCAGTTCGGGATCTGCATGTGGCCGTGAGGTAGAGGCTTCGATTCTGGACCGTTTCTTTGCTGGAGCACCTTTTGATGTGACTTGCGATCCATTTCGCTTTAAAATGTCGGTTAACTTTTGCTGCTTTCTTAGATTAACAGTCAATTTCCGAAGAAACCTGAACAGATGTTAAGGAATAGCACTACGTATCCATCTAGTGACGGCAACCTGGAGTAATCGGGGATTTTCGATTTTGGTGAAGGAGATCTTTAGAAAAACGTTTTATCGTAAAAATTTAATGGCATTTACCGTTCCTTCACCTGTAATATATTCTCAATTTTACAGGCCCCTCTTTTTCACGATTTGTGTGTAAACCTGTGTTTTACCTGCATTTCACATTTACATTTTACCTACGAGGTATTTTTCACATCAGATTTATGTCTTCTTTCTAGAATACTCTGACGTAATTTTCGCCTTATATGACAGGTGTAACATGAAATCTGTGGCTATGATTAACAAATGTTTATCCAAGACCAATAATAAAAGCATGACTAACGAGAAAGCCACATTATAAAATATTCGGCAAAATTTGTAAGCAATATAGGGTGCCTCCGAGAAGACTGACAAATTTGAAATATGATACGAATTCTTGTATAATGAACCTTCGCATTTTTACTGGATATACTGTACTTCAAGGCTTGGAATGTAGTCTGCCACGGATCAAATGTAAGTAAGTAAGTACGAAAATTGTGGAACTGTTTTTCACAACGGGTTTCATTGTGCACTTGCAGGGTAGGGAGGGGGGGAGCCTGAAGGCGCGAGGATACAACTGTGTCCGTGGAGGATTTTTTCAAAAATGGAATGATTGAAAATAAAAAAATATAACTTGCCCCACAAATAACCAATGCCTGTGCTATCTCATGTACGCGTTATCTGTATTATTTACCGAAAATAATGATACTACACTGAAATAAAAATGTCAGTCTTCTCTGAGACATCCTGTATTATAAAGACTCTGCGGTCTGAGCATTAGTCGCAGATGTCTGAATGCATTTTGCCTTAGCCATTTCCGAGCTACGTAATCGAAAGTTTATAAGGGTGAGTGAAAAGTCTGGACACAGGGAACTGAGCTCAATATGTGTTTATTGCACGAAATTTCACAATACAGGCCCATGTCCTGGAATCAGTCCACAGCGAATTTGGAAAAAGAATCCAGAAATGTCTGGAGAACGATGGACAACATATAGAACACATATTATAACATTTCGTGCAAAAAACACATAATGAGCTCAGTTCCCTAGGTGTCCAGACTTTTCACTCATCCTGAGGAAAGCTTAGCCAAACGTCAAGGAACCCATTCACTTCACAACACAAAAAAATTTTCAGATAGAGCCGAACCATGACACTGGGCGAGACCGACTTGAAGTGATGACTGCTACAGAGCAATATGGGAAATAGCAGCGCAATAGTTCCAACGCGTCCCACAAGGTTAACAAAGACAAGCGCTAAGGAGCTTCGGGGAACTTTCACCTGGAATTCCCCGAATTTCATCCTTGAGCCTCATCGCTTTTCAATATACTATCTTGCTTGCGGAGGAGTCCTTTCCAATGAGTTTATGATAAAAATAAGGAATTATCTTCTTTTCCCTTCTCTCAAATTGTCAGTAGAAAAAATAGTCAGCAAATAAAAAAAAATCACTTCAAGACACAAGGGGGGAGCAATTGCCCACCCTTGCCCCCCAAATGACGTCCCTGTTGTAGTCCTCCTCCGTACCCGCTCGAGCGCCGTTAAATAGCTTTTATTAGTAGGCCTCCAAAATTGAACGTAATACTCTAAATGGGATCTCACAAGCGTCGCATACAACGGAAGAATCATGAGTTCCTGGCTACGAAATGTGGGATGAAACCTAGGTCCTGTTACGTTTAGCTACTGTCGCTTGTGCGTGCGAGAACTTGAGTTCTTGATAGATATTAATTCCGAGATCTTTCTCCCCCTTTGCGCCGAAATCTTAGCGAGACCTCATTATGAAGCACCTTATATTTACTCTTATTTAACCTCATGAGCCACTTCTTACTCCATTCGTTTAAGAGCTACAAATCCTGCTCGGCTCTTACCTTATCCGCCTCCCCCCTGATATAAAAACTTATATTCGTGTCGTAGGTAAATGCGTTGGAATTTTTTTATTTAGTGCTGCAAAAATATTAAGGTGGACTCCGATTTCCATAATTTGTTTCCTTCAATTTTTAAAACTTATTTCGTACAATCAAGCTGTGATATAATCAGTTGAGAAAAATGTAAGCTTTAAAAATTTTTCTGGCAGCAACAATCAATTTATCACTGCTAACTTAGCACTTACGCCGTCACAGAGAAAGTATTGAGAGGATCTGTGAATAGAGGGTTTCCATTGTTCCTCCGACTACCAGACTTTTGGGGCCACTTGTGACAGTGTCTTGCAACCAGTTTCATAGTTCACCCGTCATCTCCTGGACATACTACTTATTTATCCCATCAAAAGAACCAAGGTCTGAATCTAAGGGCCTATGGATAAAGGATCTTCAGTGGCCCACGAAGTAGTGAGTCTTGGATGGCAAAAGTAATATAAAAGGTGATTGGCTGCCAGTTTCATAGTTCCTCATAGAACCCTCAGGGACTCTGGTCTGATAGTGAAAGGGACCATAGTCCCAGGCAGAGGTGGAAAAAGTTCTTCTGCTTCCTGGTAACCATGGTTTACCCTCACAGTTTAGCAGGTGTGTGAAATGACCCCGCGTTTGGGGGGCTGAGCAGAGGGGAGGGGGTGCCAGGCAAAATATCAATTTTAAGCCACAACTAGACATGAAAACGCCTATATGTAGGCCTCTGGCAGGACCTAATGGGGATTGCGCAGAGGAGCATAGCCCTTCAGAAGCTCTTGGAATTGATTAAAATTGAATGAATTGAATTAAACGGGTCTTTAAAGGTTTTTCTGCAGAGGAGCACTTCGAACGATATTTTCATTTCTAGACTGGAATATTGATTTTATCGAATTCATACTTGAAACCTCCCCTTCTGTCTATTCAGTCAGGGAACGACCTCTGAAACAGGACTACCTTCAACTCGTATGCTTGCTGCGTTCTTCGCAAGAAATGCGAAATAGAGATGAAGTGCTTCAACTAGGAGGAACTTAATTAGGGCACTTCGTCTCTAGACACCAGCAGATATTCTCTCAGCGACAGGATACATAGGAGTTGATGGGACACAAGAACTGTGAAGAACGTGAGGTGCGGGACGAGATTGGACGGCGCTCCGATGGGGAATGGAGATCAATGTATACACTAAACCTTGGGGTCTAATAAGGTTACTTGTAAAAAGACGCGAAGGGAACAGTTAATCTGTCAGCGAAAAGCCAGGTAACCCGAGGTCGGACCGATTGATTGATTTAAGAGCAAAGGAAGAGGTTTCAGAGGCACAAGACGCCGCCTAATTTTAATTCAGTGATGAGTATTTCTCACCTCGTTAAATACACAATAAAAATTATAATCTCTTTCTTATGCCGATGACAAGGTCGCCTCTGCATTACGGTCAGACAAATTTGACCGGTATCCCCAATTTTCACTTTCAATCTTCGTTGGGACGAGATCTTTCAACCCCAGGATCGAGGGAATACAGAATACCGGTCTTTTTGCCTATATGCGCTCGGCACGGGAGGAAAAAATCCATATCCTCCTCCTTTGAGATATCTTTCCGGAGCCTCTATCTTTTCGCATGCAGTCGTCATTTACCTTCTTTCACTCCATTACCATCTCTCGTCTTCCCGATCTTTCTTTTCGCATTATTTATTATTTCCCCCCTCTTCCCCATTCTCACTTTTCTTCTCTCGGTTATTTAGTTTTTATCCCTACCTTGCCTTCACGATCGGTTGCTACCTTTCCCGGTAACCTGGTTGCTAGGTTACGGAACTTTTTCCACCTCTGACCCCAGGCATCATCTCAAGTCAACTCTCACAAATTCATTCTCCTTCCCCCTTCCCTCTTCCCAAGGAATAAAAGGAATCATTTTTGTTTTTCTTTTTGAGCTGACTTTGCCACCGACAGGTTGACCCAATAAAGCCTTAAATGGGTTGGTTGTGAAGTGGTGAGGCAAGTGAGCAGTGAAAGGCTATGGACATGTCACTGCTTCATTTCCATCAATGCACAGGAAAAAAATGCTCTTGACCTTTGCAATGCCATCAAACATGTCTGATGTTTTCTGTTGTTTTTTTGAGATTTCGATTGGGTTCAGGGGTAGAAAGGAGTCACATATCCTTCTTGGGCTTTGCGAGGGAATCATGCAGCCGAGATAGCTCCTTGTGGAAGAGATCTGTGAGAAGATTACCCCTCTCATCAAACCAGGTGGCAATAGACTTTTTCATCTCTCCAGATCGTGCTGGTTTCTTCCTGCTTCCTCTCACACACAGCTTCAGTATGTACATGTCATCAAACCTAACACATGAGACATAACAATCAAGAATCACTCATTCAGTCACCTCCATCAATTGCAAGAGGATAGTTGCAACTTTTTGTGCTCATAGAGAACCAAAGCTATTTCTCAAGATTTCATTGTATAAACTGTTGGGGAAATACAGAAGCAAATCAAGCAAAGGTAAAGCCTCTTCTTTGCTCCACATAAATTCCAAGTTAAAATACACCAGAAAGATTCTAAGCAGCAGGCATATTCAGGCTGGCTCTATCACTACTAAGAATGGGAACAAGTCCAAACCTTTATTAATGCAGACTACCTAGTAAAACAAAGATAAATCATATCATGAGTCAAAGGGACGAAAGTTCTCTGACCCCCCACTTAAACAATATCCAGTCCATTAATTTTATTAGTGCTTGGCCACTTTCAGTTTGCCTGTTGTCCCTACTTGTAATGTAAACTGCCAACCCATCAAGCATATTTGACATCCACAGCAAGCCACACAGGGATCAAATTGGGGACAATGGATGAAACAGATGCATCTACATACTAATAAAATCAATGGGTCCATGTGGACCCACTTGGTCAGAAAGGATTAAATACCTAGAGAGATCATGATTACCGTTTGATGGAGGAAGAGGCCTCCCAGATGATGTCCGGATCAATGCCAGCCTTGTCTTTGTCCAATGCCACCAAGAAGATCCCTTTCTCATAGTAGTTGGTGTAGATAGTGAAGATTCCCATGAGAAAGAAGTACATCACGACACAGAAGATCAGCATCATCCTATCCAAGGATAGACCCTCAATCAATTTCCAAAAAGTTACCATGGAAGCACATACCATTTTGTTGATCAATCAGTCAAGCACTGGATGGAGTCATTATATTCTCCCAATTTAAGTATTAGGTTGTAACATATATTCCCGCCGTTTTTATATTTTGCTTGTTTTCACTCCATATTTTTTAAGTTTGGCAAAGTGGATATAGTCATTCGAAAGATCGTTCTTTCCTCTACAAACTTATTGCCACCATTTTTCCGAATTAAAATGGTGGCAATAAGTTTGTAGAGGAAAGAACGCTCTTTCGAATGACTATCCACTTTGCCAAACTTCAAAAATATGGAGTGAAAACAAACAAAATATAAAAACGGCGGGAATATATGTTACAACCCAATAAAAGTTCAAAGCATCAAAAGACTATGAAGGCATGTGACAATATTGTCAGACAATAAGAATGCTATATTTTTCCAATGTAAAGTTGTGAATGTGGCACATTCTTAGACCAAGGAGTGGCTTGTAATCTTTAAGTAGTACTTGATTAATTTCAGTTTGTCAATTGTGATTTTAAAAAATTGACCTGACGACAGCAATATATCTGCAAAAATCATTTGCCACAGCAGAATTCATGCACCAGCTTTTGGAAATAATTTCATACTTGTGCTTATGCTTGTCATCTTCCATTGAGGTACACCACAATGTCTAAATTAAAAACTGAAAAATAGATACAGCTTAACCCTTTCACTGTGGAGTATTTAGCAGTCAGCCACCCCCTGCTTTGCTAGGGTTTTTCACTCACTTTAACCCATTCAGTACTGCTCAAAAGTAAGATCTTTCTGTCATGTGGCACAGGAAAAAAACAAACAAAAAAACCCAAGCATATGCTGTATGAAGTGTTTGTGAAAACAATTTAAAAGTATTTTTCCTGTACTTACTTTACTCAAGTGACAATTTGGCATGCCAGATCTCAAAATGAGGTGTCACAAAGAGACCTGACAAGAATGGACACATGAGGCAAGAGTATCTGGATTCTCTTTGCAAATAATAAGCCAAATAATTTTGGCTCACTGTCAACACCATCCTCACTTCCACTACTATCATCAGATACAATGAAGTCACTGTCTTCATCATCAATAATTTCATCTTTAGAATCACTCTCAGCCAATTCAATTTCCACATATTCAATTCATGAGTATAGTCTATCCAGTCCAACTTAGCAATGCTGGCATTGCCAGTTTTATGGTAGCTCATTAATTTTTTGCTTTTGCGATGCAAAGTAAACTTCCCCAGAAAAAAAAGGAATTGTGCACTAGGAAGGCTACACAAGAAAAGAAAATGTATCCACAAAAGGATTAATGTGATTCTGCCATAGAAGAATGAAAATATTGCTTTCTGTTGAATTACTGAGTCATACCAAAAATTATAGCCTTCTTGCCATTACAGTCATCAGTACAATAGTGAGTTAAAGTAACATTATCTGATGCAATGTTTAGATATGCTTCTATGCCATCATGGATCATCAGATAAAGTACATTACTACATCAAAAAACATGGAACCAAACCTATGAGTAAGTGCATATGGGTCTATCCGCACCAAGTGGTTCTAGGATTTTAGCCTGAAATTTCCCTAAATATGCTAATATTACATTCACTACAGAAGTTCATCATCTCTTTTCCCAGAAGGCATGAATGAAGGAGAATATTATATTGAAAAATGAAAGAATTAGTCATAATTATGATATATTATTCATACCACTATCACGATACTCATGGATGTGACAAAAATGCAAATCTGGGTTCTGAATTGGACTACTGGAACAGATGCCAGCATGGGTTTTCCATGCATGCTGATAATTTCAAATCAACTCAGGTGTGAAGAGTACATGTCAAATGTTCACATTTGAATGATATCTTAAAAATCTCCTAGAAATGCTTGATGACAGATATGAGAACATTAAAGCAAGTTGACTTTAACTTGAGGTTTCACGAAATGTCACGTCTGACACTTCTCTTTGCACATAGGTACATCTCTAACAAAAAGAGAGAGTGTAAGACTTTAGATTATTGAATTTTTAGTCACCACCTAAAGCAAATTGTTGCAGCCTTTACATGCTGATTTGTCATCTATAATACAGTTGAATACATTTTGTATATTAAATGTCACATCCGACACAGTTGACAGACCCATTTACAGCTCAGAGGCATATATCTGCTGATATCTGAATACAATGGGATGAGCAGAAATAGTGGTGGTGGCAGTAAAGGCAGAAAGGTCAGTAGGAAGTTCCCATAGATCATCTTAAGAAACCCAAAATTGGGTCCCTAACCGGGAAATAGACTCCAAATGGATGAAGCACTTTCTTTTATATTTGTAGCTATTAAAAATACAAAGACACAAGGCCTATACTTTCTAGAAGCAGCAAAAACTATAGCAAAAAAAGTATACTTCCTCTAAGCTTTCCTTTTCATGTTTGGAAAACAACCTCGTAACTTTACCCAAGAGATGGTACTAAACATTGGCCTCCTTTCCTGAAGGAAGGTTCAACAACAAAAAAAGAGAGGAAAGACTTACAGGTATCAGAATTTCAAAATGCATCTAAAATGAAAATAAATTCACTTAAGGAGAAAAATTCAAATGTTATAAGTCATCCAATTGGTATAAACTTATGGAAATAGGAGTAGCAACAGTAACCACTCAAAATGGAAATAAAGAGAAGAATGGATCATGATAGTTTAAATATAATAATCCTATAGATTGGAATCTCTCATAGGCCTACTTTAACCCTTCAAGTGCCACACAGCCGACTTTTTGGCTGTATCTGCCACTTACAAAAATGTTGTAGGCCTATTTTTATGTCATCTAACAATAAGAACCACAACTGTGTGATGGAAGAAACCTAATGAAAAGCAGTGGCTGAAAAAATCAGCCTTTGGCATCTTTAGCAAGAGTAAAAATGGCCGAAAAATCAACTGCACAGTACCCACAGGGCTAAGGTGAAATAAACTTCCTAGAAGTGAACAGTGAAAATACCCATGTGAAATCACAACAAATGGAGTACTTGTGCTTTACTCATTTTGCATCCTAGCCTCTTCCCTATAAGAGCTAAAAATGCCTCAAGTTGGTTTTAAATAACTGATGAATAAAATGAAATGCATAAAAATTTGCCACACAAAATATATGACTCTCCACTGATATAATCCCTAAAGGGCAAAAGAAAAGCTACATATTGAGGAAGTGAACTTGGTCAAAGGGTAGGAGATAGACCTGGACTGAGGGAAGGGATAGATGTAGTCCCAGGCAAGCGCAAGGAGAGCAAGGCATACAGCTACCCCTGACAGTCCCAGTCGACCATCCATCAGTGCATGACTCTCCTTATATCCATACTTCTTGGTGAAAAGCTGGAAAAACAAAAACCAAGAACAAAAATAAAAATAACAGGATAAAAAAAAATTGTTCAGGCTGCCACAAATTCACAAATATGAGTGCAATGTTTATATGGGCTCGATAACTTTTTGGATGATACGTTTCCATACAATTTTCAGAAAGAATAACAAGGTAACAAAAGTTGGGACTAATATACACACCTCCTATTCACTATGAAAAAAAAAGCCTTACCTCCTTCACAGCATCATCGAGTGCATTTTTCACAGCTGAACCATCCCACTTGTCCACCTTGATGGGCTTTGTCTCTTTTTCCTCCTTTTCCTTGTCTTTTGACTAAACAACCAACATAATATATTCATTTAGGTCCAAATAATATACATCTATCTTGCTTTCATTACCATTACCATGAATTAACTCACAAAAAAGGTAAACTTTTTCTCACCTTTGAAGCCATATATGTAGGTAGATCAGGCAGTTGGCTACTGGTGATTTATTGGCTGAGGAAGAGGAAAACCTTTCCACAATGCTAATATTATCAAAGTCACACACACACAGCACCTAATCCCATATGCAGGCCTATCAACCTAGATATGACCCAAGAAAAATATATTTTATCAGAATGAATTGCAAACATTGGTATATAATTCAACATCTTACTTATAGGTCATCAGTACTTTGGTAATAGAACTCAATGGTATTTTGGCATGCAATACAAATATTTTCACTGGTTACCATACAAGGTTCAAGGTTTCAAAGGGATGTAAGGTTTATCCAACCATTCTGATATCCCATGTCAAGATCAAGCATTCAGATAACCATAAGATAGGCCTACTCTCTTAAAGATAGAATTTTTTGGGGAGCAAAGCCATCTACTACCTAGTCACTTGAAACTATGATGTTCCCTTTTTTGCTTTTTCTATGATGACATCAAGTCTCTTCTTGCAGTTAGTCACATTGGGGGCAGCCACTACAGAAGTGATGCACAACCAGCAGGCCGCTGGCCGTATGCAGCCCGCAGAGACCTTTCTTGCATCCACTTTGATGCCTCCGGTCTTACTGGTCCGATCTGCAGTTAGTCAAAGGCATGGTAATAGTGGTGCCCTTACAAGGGCATGTGAACTCATCGTAAAACCAATGCAGTTGTCTAAAATTTGTTCCACACTTTGTAATCAAGGGGGTTTAAGCCAGGAGTTTTGGTGGTGACTGATTTTCTTGGATAAAGTCAGAAGTATTACTTTTCAAATATCCCAGTAAATGTGTCTCACACATTGTTTTTGCTGGACCCTGTACACCATTTTCAACACCTGATGAACTGAAGGCTTAGATTGAGGAAATGTGGCCTCTTATGGATGACTAAATTAAGAAGTCAATCCACCAATGGAAACAATGCTTATGAGTGGTTATAGACCAGAAAGAAGGACCCACCAGGCACCTTTTCTTGAGGCCAGCTGTACTTCATTGTACATGTCCTCATTTCACTTTGCTTGAGAATATATATAGCACTTACTACAGTTCTGAATGAAAAACTTCATTGAAATTTTGTAAACAATATGCATATGAAGAATGTAACACCCTGAAGGTTCCCTACCATTAATTAGTGTGGTGTTCCCTTTGTGGCCATGTAGCACTAGGAATTTTTTATTTATTTATCATCTTATCAAATTCTTCTAAACATCTGGACAGAATCCAACAGCCCAGGATAAATCCAGCTCACAAAAAAGCTATACAGTAACTGGTCACAAAAAACATGCAGGGAGGAATGACCTAGGTAAAGGTGGCCAAGACTAAGCACTGGCCACACAATGAATATCAGGTGTCTGAGATAACCCCATAGCAAGGAGCAGACTTACCTTAACTAAATTTTCAGATTTACTGGAGATTTCTTCACATCACCATGCCCATCTACTTCCACCAACTGCCAGTACCCTTCCTTCTTTGGTATTAAAATCCATTTGCTATGATTACTATTATTTTATGATAAAAAACATTTTCTAATCGAGACCAAGAAATATTATAATTATTGCAATCTTATTATATTATAATTATTGCAATATAATTATTGTATTAAGTACCAAGCACTGAAAATCTTGACCCTGGCAACACACTCTCCCTCTGGTTCCACAAAGATCTTCAAATTCTGCTTGTTCTAATTATATCAAATTTCTTTTCTTACATATTCTCTTTTGCCTTCCCCATTCCTAGCCCTATCCCATATGCTACTGACTATATTCAAGCATGTCCAGCATCTAGATATACCAATTACAAATTCTACCTAGTAGATTTTTCATAGCCCCATAGAAGTAGGGTCTTTTTTCAGATAACCCTAACCCATTACATTTCCTAACTGCTATTTCCCATCTGCTTGATTGTCTTGATCACATCTGCCCGATTAAATTGCATGAACAGAAAGAAACTAGACTGGGGGACAGGGGTCAAACCTGTAACATTTGTTATTGACATCTGAGCTTGCTTAGATGGTGCCAGGTCTCAAATTCAAAGGAGGGGCAAGAAGTATGGACAAGAACTATGTAGTCCAAGATATGACTGGAACCAGGGTAATACTAGATATAGTTCACTATCTTCCTTTACTAGGCAGACAATGGCTAGAATATCCTCCCTACTGCTGTCCATCAAAATCAAGACCATTAGTAACAATGAATCATTACTAAATTCTTATTGGCAGAAAGTTCTGAAGAGATACCTGCATGTTTTTTCATCCATGCTGCAATTGGATACTTTGCATACTTTGACTGGCCAAGGCCTCTTCCACCAGCTCTTCTACTTGACCAACAACTATAATAATAGCAATCTCTTGCTGCAACCATTCTGTGAGTCATAAAAAGTGATGCATCAAGTAAACTGCATACCTTTGGAGTGCAAAAGCTAATCTGTTTCAAGAAATGATAAGTCAAATGTTTTTGATTCTCAAGCATTTGGTATCAAGCAAGACCATCTCTGGGTGACTACATGAACCACAATTTGCAGGATGGTGGCATACAGTACTATCACAATGAATTTATTAATATAATAAGGGCATACATGCCATTACTATGATGATAATATGAGAAGGGCACTGGTGCTACTAGTGTTACAACTCAATGGATATCTTCTTAATAACAGTCCATGCCAATTTTAAGACTGGAGTTCCACATTAGTTCAGCAGGCATCAATAGGCCCATGTGAAACACCTGCCTGCTATGAAAGGATATGTACTCACACTGGGCAACAAGGTGTTCAGCCTGTTACTCGCCCAAAGCCTGCATAAGTTTCACATCACTGATGTCTAAGACTCCATCTTTACATATGAACGGGTAACAGCCATGACCACTCACACGAACAACAGACAGAAATAGACAAAACTGAGAAGTTGTGCTGGGCTGCGATACGGTATATCAGCCTTGCGGCCTCACTTCCTATGGCTTTCCCTTAGCCTCTCCTTCATTTGCATTCGATTCTTTCAAAAGCCAGCTACCTATGTGGAACATGAAACTGAGTTATTCATTTGAGTCAGATACCGAAATACAAGGAACATCCCATGCATAAGAATCTAAGTCAAGCGCGAAGCTGCCTGATTTACGTCAAAAACACTATCATGTTTGACAGCAGTTAGCTGGCTCTCGAAAGCATCGGATACAAATAAGGGAGAGGCAAAGGAAAGATCTTAGGAAGCGAGGCCGCAAGGGCTGAGATACCATTTCGCAGGCCAATACAATTTCTTGCTTTTTGTCTAGGTTTCTGAATCAGACACACAAACATGAGGAACATCTCAAGCAAATAAGTCAGTCAATTAAAAGGCACAAATCTAACCCGGCAAGCGCTGACGTGCCAGACGCACACGTGGCCGCCATCCAACTAGGGTTGCCAGATATATTTCGAAGGAAGGAAGGAGGGGGGGGGGCAAAGATTATCCACGCTGCTTTTAGATTGAAGTAGGAAGCACAATTCTTCTAGCGGCAGAAGCAGGGCCATATCGAGGGGCTGCGAGCGGCACGTTCGTACAGGATGTCAAATCACTTCCAATAAAAAAATAACTTTTTTAGTTATTTCAATTTATCCTGAATTTAAATAAATTAAACATATAAATTGGTACATAATGTGTTGTTGGTACTGAAGAAGCTGGAGAGGTGTATTGGGGAGAGGGGTGAGGTTGGATTGATATCTCATACAAGACGCTGATTTTCCTCAGAACGACGCTGGGAGTAAGCTACATCCCGAGGCAAAGGTGAGTAGTATTTAAAATAGTTGTATACGTATTTCAATACATTCCAGGTATTTTGTATTTTGCATTTAAATGCATATCAGAAAATTTGCATTTTATTAATTGACAAACAGTGCCTCTCAAAAAAATATATTTGTAATACATTTGACAAATTATGAAATACTTTTTAAATTTATTCAGTGCAACTTCAAACATGGCTACCTCAGAAGGCTTGCTTTCTTCATTGGGTGACATGCACCAGATTCGTTTAACTTTAAACTGATTCGTTTTCATAATGGGCGTCTATGGGAATAAGTTTATCTCTTTTAAACTGATTCCCATTGGGGACCATTGTGAGATCAGATTAGTTTAGCAGAGGTGCATTGGGCCTAGGTCAAATGTGCTGTATGCTCTGCAGAGAAAGTGATTAGTGGAACTCTAGCTGCAACATCCAGGGCTGCCCGGGGGGAGGGGGGGGGGGGGCAATTTGCCCCGGGCCCCTTGTATCAAGGGGTCCTAAGGGGGGCCTCCAAAGGGCCTCAAGGGGGCCCCCAAGGGGTCTCCGGTTTAGTTTTGCCCCGGGCACCTAGAAACCTCTGGGCGGCCCTGGCAACATCCAACTTCTTCATGTATTTGAAGGTTGATTGTGTCACAATATCTTGAAATGCATGAGCTGATCTGACCTATCCTGACCAAGGAAAGCAATTGATTTATGATATATCGGCTATTCGGACTTGCAAAAGGCTAAGGCCTTGTGCAAACCCGAATCATGCCTATGCAGGTTAATATTTCCATTCTTTGCTTTCAGTGAGCCCAACACCCTGGGCTACAAATTTGGCATGGGCAGAATTTTTCGTAAACCGAAACGTTTTCGAGGCAAAGGAGAGAGAAGCGAGGCAGCCCGCCACGGTCCATCGTTGAGTAACGGGAGCACGTGGCATTGTTTCCCGAACTCATCTGCTCGTTGTCCACAGTCTATCAGCTCGCGGTTGAGCAGAATGCACTGGGAGAGCGTACGGCGTTCGGGTGGCTCTGGAAACAACGATGGTGATGCTGCGACGAAATTCCCTTGGCTGGTCAAGTTTTCCATCAAAATCTCGGGAGTCCTCCACGTGTCGTCAGAGAGATGCATAGATACTGGCGATGCCGTCATCGGGGAAAGCGACGTCGAGAGATCGAACATATCGGCTTCAAGGTTCAAGGTAGTTAGTGACATCAAGAGGCGATTTCGCCCATTTCGATATCACGTGTCGAGGTCGAGCGTTCCTTAATTTTAGGGTAGGCCTAACCCTCTTAAAGCTATATATTTTTGTATTTTTGTTTTGTTTGTTTTTTTTTTTTGTTTTTGTTTTTTGACTATCCTAGTTGCTTACTGTCTAGTACCTAACGTCAGCATTGCCCCCCACCTTTTTGCC